ATATTAAGTCAGCAATGTACACAGGGTTTCATTTTATGAATGCTCTTCTGTTACTCCAATGGTTAGGTATACTTTTTCCTGACACATTTCAGACTGCCTTCTCTTTCTTTGTTGAAATTATTTTTACATATTTTCCATATATAAAAACACTTTAGCTTGTTTAAGTTAATCATATACTGGAAGCCAGAATTCAAATCCTATTTCTCTGTCAAGAGTAATGACAAGAGTAATGAGTAAATTCTAATGTTTTCTCTTCCATAGATTTTTATCACATCTTTCACATTATTTTATTCCCATGCCATAATCCTAATAAAAACAACAACCAAAATTATAGTTTTGGGAAGGTCTACCATGAGTCAGACTCACTCTCTCCCTCTCTCTCTCTCTCTTTAAATTCTTGCCATTTATCAAAATGCAATGTAGGGGTTATCATTTCTACTTGAGTTTTCTCTATTTTACTTAATTATGATCAATATATTTATGTCTATAACCATATATTTACTGATTGCCTAAACCAACACAACTGGAGCATGAAATACAAATTTCATGAGGACAAGAGAATTTTTTTGTATATTATTGTATATACTACTGTGCTTAGAAAATACAAATCAGGTTGACAGAGATCAAATCTATTGCCAGTCATTTTAATTATAGTACATAGCATAAATGTTTTGTATGTAAATATTTGTTGGATTAATTAACCATGTAGGAGGATCAAGAATGACACAACTGACACCTTTTCCACTCTATTTATTTTAAGCATTTTAACTATTAAAAAAAAAAAGTGAGACTGTTCAATTTAACAAAGTTTACTTAACAAGAGGTTTCTGGAATTGAGCAGAATTTCAGATTGAAGCTGGAAATTACAATAAGGATTGCTATTTTTGTAAATAGAAAGGCAGGATATGATGCAGAGATACCTGATTACTTCAATTTAGCTTATTGGGACATAATTTGGCAGCCTTCATCCTGAAATCAGCTGAAGAGTCAGCAACTCAGATTGGCTACAACTCAGTTGTTTTGCTATAAGAACATACTTGGGTTAGGATACAATTTGCTTGAATATCATAAAAACTTAAAGAGCAATTGCTCTTTAAGAAAGTCTCAATAGTATCAGTGAACCCTTTTAATTCCTCTTTTTTCCCCTCAATACTGGGAATTGAAACCAGGGGTGTTTTATCACTGAGGTATGTCCCCAATCCATTGTAATTCTGATTTTGAAACAGAGTCTCACTGAATTGCTGGGGCTGTCCTCAAACTTGTAATCCTCTTGCCTCAGCCTCTTGAGTTGCTGAGATTACAGGCATGCACTACCACACAGGAAATATCAATGACTTCTTATTAACACTTTGAATAACTATATCATGCCATTTTACATTGTTTTGAGTATTCACTGAAATTCTGTGCTGGCTAGAATTAAGCCAGGGCATAAGGAAAAAATATTTTAATAATCTTAGAGAATAGAAATGTCTGTCTATGAACATCAGAGACCTAGTATTTTGTTCTCAGTAAGATAGATATAATAGTTATTTTGAATTGTCAACTTGATTGGATTAAAAGATGCTGAAGATTAAGAGGCTTTTGAGTGTGTCATTGAGAGTGAGTCTAGGAAAAATTGGCATGAGGGATAGTGAACTGAAGTAGAGACCCTAAGCATGGGCAGCACCATTCAATAGGTTGGGGGCTTGGATGGAAGAAAAGTTGAAAGGTCAAGGAAGCAGTAGCAGTTGAAATCTCTTCTTGAACAGGTTCTTGATTGCTGCTGCAATCACCAGAGGACATCAGACTCTAGCTCCTTCACTCCTTCAAAGCAGACTCTTTCGGTGATTCTCCAAGTGGTTTCCATAAGTCTTCAGTCTCAGACTGGGGTAGCATCATTGATTCCTCTTGTTCTGAGCCTTCAGCATCTTGGACCGAACAGCTGCTACTTGATCCTCCAGCTCTCCAGCCTACAGGTAGCCATTGTGGACTATCCAGATTCTGGTTGTTTAAGCCAATCTAATAAATCCCCCTTTTATAGTCATACCTCCTATTCTCTAGATAACCCTAATTAATAAATCTTAACATCCTCAAAATTACCTTATACTCCATGATACCCACTGAATCTTCAGTAATCTCACCTGCTTCCCAGGTGAAACAATTTATCTCCTAGAAGGCTAAAAGTTTCCTTTAGCGATTCCAGAATCCTGAAGAACAACTCCTACTTATATCTCACAACTTGAAAAGGAGCTGGAAATTATAGCCCAGAAATATCACAACCTGCACAACGGTTAATTCAGGAAACTGGTGGAGGGGCAATAAGGGATTAGAAAAAACAAATGGACACACAAATAGAGAAAAAGCTGAGACCTGGTGGGCACCACAGTCAGATGGAGTGCAATGACCATGAGTCAGTTCAGCTCATTTATTATGTATTATGTATTATTATACATTATTATGTATTATTATACATACATCATTAACAGGATGTTTTTATACATCATTAAAAGGATGCATTGTGTGAAAGTTTCTTCAAAGTACTCAAAGTGAAGGACAAACTTCTGTGCATCCTAATTTTAATTACTAGCTTGCCCCCATAACTCTCTATCCCTAAGCAGCTGGCATTTGAACTGAAGGTTAAAAATTGATAAATTCTGTGGCTGGCAGAACCCCCTTTTGAACAGGACATCACCATAGCAACTGGGCTTCAATTGGTGCTTTGCACAGAGAAATTCCCTAGAGAGGTATTGCCTCTGTCTCTGGGCAGTTCAAGGACCATAATTCATTCATAATCCACTCCCAACATAGAGGTATGCAAATTGCTCAGGAAAAAATAAATATTGAGAGGCAAGTAGTAATATCTACCAAAAATCTTAGATGAAATATTCCCTACAGAAATCATACTTAACAAGATTAAACACTGCTTTCTTCTCTAGAGATAAAAAATATTATTAAATACAATGGTGCCCTCAACACCAACTAATTTTCTGACAGGTGTCTTCACTTAATGCTGCCAACAAATAGTTTTAAAGCTCTGCATTCACAATCTGTTACAAATAAAGTCCCCAAACTCTTAAGATGAAGCAGTGGAGGGAATACAGAAACCCAAATTTTACAGTCAAATGCATGAAACAATAATTACCGTAAAAGTTGTGCAGAGTGTTTATGAGAGCTCAGTGGGACCCTGGATGCCCATTAGCTGGGGGAAGCAGCCATAGGAACAAGACACTGATTCAAGCAAGAATGTAAATGGAGCACAGGTTGGCATGTGCAATCCACAATAAATAATCTTGATTTGAACTTGATTAGTGCAAAGGTCCATCAGGCAACAGTTCATCACTTTGCCAGAGAGCATTTCTCCTGTTGAGAGAAGAAAAGAGCCCTAAAAAGAAAAACTTGATGAGAATTCTGTGAACTGACAGAAATGGAGAAAGTAATGTAGAATTCACTTTGGCAACAGTTAGTGTCAGCTTTGTACCATAGAATGTGAGCCTACCCTACTCGCTGTTCCTCTGTAGATATCACTTTAAAGGTGATGATGTATCCACCTCATTGTACATCTATCACAACAGTTTTCTATCTTCATTATTCAAGAATAGTATGCCAGACAAAACATAACCTTAATGAAAGCAATGAAGTGTCCCATCTTTGCATGAACTGCTGCTTTTGGGCTTATCAAAATTTGCTTGTCATTAGCCCTGTTGATTACTATACAAGAAGTATGGCCACAATGAAGTATTTACAAAGGTGGCATTTCTGCATCCTAATGAATACCGCTCTCTTCCAAAGAGCCATTGTGGGGGAAAGATAGCTAAGGTGGTCACCATAGTTTGACATGATAATCATCTTTAAGAATACAGCCAGGCCAGGACTGTGGCTTTTGCTTTTTTTTTTATTATTATTATTTTTTGTCACAGTCTCAGGTGCTCCTTTTTTCCAACCTGTCTTGTTTGGCAGTAATAAAGGGTCAAGGAATATGAGGGATATCAAAATGGGTCTTTTCTGTGTGGTAGACACTGTGAAATCCTACAGCACAGTGACCAACAGCAAAATTCAAATCTCAGCTCTGCTGTACAACAGCTGGTCAACTCTGGGTGAATCTCTTGCCATCCACATGTTTCATTGTCCTCATCTGTAAAGCAGGGATACTAAAAAGAGTTCCACTATAGGGTTTGGGTGTAGGACTTATGTTTCAGGTAAAGTTTACATTTTTTAGATGTCAAAATAGGGTTTCTGGGAATTATCAGAAGAGGACTATGGTATTGGTGAACAAATAAGTCTGATCATTAAACTTCTAGTATTTTTCTCCCAAAATATTTACAAGCAATAAAGTTGATACTGAACAACCAGGTTGCTGTTAAAAAAGAAATAAAGAACTGGATCGCCTTTATAATTAATGACTTGAATCTTTTAAAAATCATAGATTCTTAATAATGTATAGAAATAGCAGAACAAATTGTTTCTAAATTAACACTGTGGTTTTGGAGACAAGTTAAAAGTAACTGAGAAATTAAAATGCAGTTTCTAGTTCCTCTTTTAGCTTCCCTTCAAGACAGTGCAATCTAAGCTCTAAGCTCCAAATTAATGGTAGTGCTAGCCTTCAGTAATCCAAAGCATGTGGATCTGTGTCAGCCTGACAGGTCAAATTCAGTTTCAGGGAATAAAGTTAAAAAATATAATATGTTATTGGATAGGTTTAAAGACCTTTAAGTCATGTAATTATAGGCTTTGCTGAATTTACTAAATCTGTCTTTATTCCCCATTAAAAACTCAATGGTTATCTCCAAACTGCCATGTGAACGTAGGACTGCCATCTGCTTTAGATACAAAACCCTGGAATAAAAGGATCACTTGGCTCTATAACTTACTCAGAGCCCAGGATGGCAGCCCAACCACATCTGCCTGCCAACATTGAGTGGGTCTCACCATGAAACTGTTCATATACTCTAGAAATGTTAATTTGCATCTGGAGTTTTACACAAATATGTGAATTCAATCTGTGGATAGTTATAGAAACAAAGTTTTGACCGAAAGTGTGTTTCTTTATTCCCAAGTACATCCAGATTTTAAAAATACATATAGGCTTTTAATTGTCCGTTCAGACCATTTTCAACTTGTGGCCATAGGTAGAATGTTCTGGAAACTGGTATTGGCCATCTGTAAATCCTTCATTCTTCTTCAAGAAGTACATTGATTTTCAGGCAGCATATCCTTGCGGATGCTGCATGGATAGCCTCTCTTTCTGGTTGTGAGCATTGAACAAGCAGAATCTGAAACAATTTATACCATGAACTTGAATCAGATGAAGAAAAAAACCTTTATTAATGTACAAAACAGAAATCTCCCAAAACTGAGATGAAAGGCTGTTCGAGGAGTACACATCTGCAATGGATTTCAACTATCACTTTTCCTTTTTTCCTATTTTTTTTCTATTTCAAAGTATTAATATGATGCTTTGAGAAAGTTTTCTTTAAAAAAAATTAAGATGCTTATTATGAACTCACTGTATGAAGTTCAAAGGAAAATCTCTAGGACTCCTTTAAGTTCCAGGAGATGGGAAGAACATGTTTGTGTCTGGTATGATATTATATTTTGACTTTCAGAACACCACAGGGATGGAAGAGGCAGCACAGCAGACTTAGGGTGTATAAAAAGCTAAAGTATCAGTTTCCAAAATGACTTCTACTAGAATAGAGCACAAAATACAACACACACACACACACACACACACACACACACACACACCCTAATAAATTGGTAACATGCTGTGTACTCTACCCCTTCATAGAAACACTCAATGCACTTCATTAATTTTAAAGGATATGAAATGTTCTACAGTAAAGAAATTAGTTTAACCTAGAACTTCTCCAAGTGTTTGGACCACAAAATTCTTATCACATGAGGTTAGTAGGTCTTCTGTTTTCAGTAAAACTTTTTGGGAAAATTCTTTGAATAATCATCAATTAACATCTGTGTCAAGGATTAGCAAATGCATTCATTATATATTTTTTTCATTTTTATATTTTTAAATAGACTTTTTAAGAACAATTTTATGTTCACAGAAAAATTAAGAGAAAAGGGGAGGCGTGGTGGCACACACTTGTAATTCTAGTGGCTCAGGAAACTGAGGCAGGAGGAACATAAGTTCAAAGCCAGACTCAGCAACTAAGAGAGGAATCCCTAAGTAACTTATGGAGATCCGGTCTCAAAATACAAAGTAAAAATGACTTAGTATGCAACTCAGTGGTTAAGCACCCCTGGGTTCAATCTCTAGTACCAAAATAAATTTAAAAATTGAGGAAAGTACAGAGATTTCCAACATACTCCATAGTCTCCCCTATTATCAACATCCTTTTCTTCCCCAAGTACATGTGTTAAATTGATGAACCTGTATTGACACATTATTATTACCCAGTTCATAGTTCACATTAGGACTTGTTCTCACACAGAGTAGTTTTACTTACCTAAAGTTCTTCTGTGCTTTGCATATTCATCCTTCTCCAAGATCCCAACGTTTGGTCATAACTGGTCATTTTATTATCTGCAGAGTTTTGCCTTTCCAAAAGATGGAATCATACATTATTGCAAATTGGCCTCCTACATTTACTAATATGCACTTAAGTTTTCTCATGGCTGCATAGCTTATTTCTTTTGAGCACAGAAAAATATTCCATTGCCTAGATGTACCTCGATTTATTTATTCATCCATCTACTGACGGACATATTAGTTGCTTCTAAGTTTTGGCAACTATTAATGAAGCCACTATAACATGCATATGCAACTTCTTTTGTAAAGATTAAGTTTTCAGCTTCTTTGGGTACATACCAAGGGGCACAATTGTTGGATCATATGGTAAGACTGTATCTAGTTTTTTAAAAAATTGCCAAACTATCCTCACAAGTGGCTGAATCATTTTGCATTTTTGCCAACAATGAATGAGAATTCTGTTGCTCTCCACCCTCTCTTCCATTTGGAGTTGTCAGTTTTATGGATTTAGGCCATTCTAATGAGTGTGTATTGGCATTTTGTTTTAATTTGCATTTACCCTGATGACATATGGTATGGAGCATCTTTAAATATGCTCATTTGCCAACTGTATGCCTTATTTGGTAAAGTGTCTGTTCAGCTGTGTGACCCATTTTTATTTATCTGTTTATTTATTTGCATTATCTGGATAACATCTTTTTAGAAAATATGTCTTGTGCAAATTTTTTCTGCCTTTCTGTGGCTTATCTCTTCATTACCTTCATAGTGTCTTTTGCAGACAAAATTAAAAAAAACTTTAATGAAGTTTATCAATCTTTTTTTTTCATGGATCATATCTTTAGTGGTGGAACTAAAAAGTCATTACCAAACCTAAGGTTATCTAGATTTTCTGCTATGTTATTTCTAGGTTTTATAGCTTTGCATTTTATATTTATGTCTGTGAAGCTTTTTATTTTTGTGAAGCGTATGAGTCTGTATATAAATTTTTTTAAACATAGACATCCAGTTATTCCAGCACCATTTGTTGCATTAATTTTATTTTTGAAATTAATTCTTTTGTAAATTTTAATGATTTTTTTTTTTGCTGTGAACTAAGTTATTTTGTTTCTCCAATAATCATTTGTACTGTTTGACCCTTTGTTAATTTAGAATTGGTAATGTTGAAATTCAATTAGAATTGTGGAAGTTTTGTCTTTAGAGGCCAAAAAAATGAGACCCTATGTAAATCAAAAATTATGTTCTTAAAAATGACTACTAAATTGGCAGAGTTATATGCTTCTTCTATTCTTAGCTAGTAATCACAGTGGCTTCCACATTACTCCCATGTGCCTGATAAGAATAAATATTTTCTCTCAATAATCAGGCAGTTAGGTGACACTGTACTCATTTTAAAAGATGCTGGGGATTTTAACTGGTAAATAGCAGAGGGAAGGAATGGACTTAGGCGTGCTTGACCCTACCTACTTCCTCTGGACATCCCAGTGTCTCCTCTGTGAAGCTGAGTTGGAATATCATGGGTCTATGTTCAAACTAAAAGCAAACTGGTCATACTGGCTTTAAAGAGAGAAAACTGACTACGGGTTGCTCTTTTTAACTAGGTAACATTTGTATGCACTTGTGTTGCCACAGTTACCACTCTTACAACTATTGGCTCACTCATGGTCTCACCAGTTGGCTAGGGAACAATGGCTGTGTCTTTTGTCCCCAAACACCCAGAACTTACCCTAGGACCTTGAGAAATTACAATTATGGTGATAGTTAACACTTATTGAATAGTACTATATCCAGAGCCTTGATTTAAATGCTTTGAATGTATGTTTTCCCCTCACACCAACACCATTAGGTACTACTTATTAGTCCTGTGTTACAGATAGAAAACTTAAGTCTCTGGGAGGTTAAGGTACTTACCCAAGGTCACACATATGATAAATGAAAGGGTCAAAGTCTGAGCATCGCAGAGACACATGAACTCATTGCATAGTGAATAAATGAATGAAAGAGAGAGTGTGTACTGAATTGGGGGGAGGAAAGGAGACGCACAGGATCGAACCACTAAGCCATATCTCCTGACCTTTTTATTTTTTTTTTTATTTTGAGACAAGAGTTTTGCTAAATACTGAGGACCTCATTAAGTTGCTGAGGCTGATTTTGAACATGTGGACCTCATGCCTCAGACTCGGAGTCACTAAATTTCAAGTGTGCACCACCACACCTGTTCTGAATTCTTACTCTGTACTAGGCACCATTCTAGAGTGCTCTACAATCATTGTCGTTCTTCATAACAATTATATGGTGTGGATGAAATTATTACATTCCTATGCCTCTCAGAGGAGAAAATTGAGCAGAGACCTTAAATAACTTACCCAAAGACACAATATTAGTAAGTGTTGGGACCAGGATTAGAATCGTGCCTTTACGCTTTGAATAAATAAATAACTCACTTAATAAAATAATTTTTAAAATTTCGAACTGAGCTAACTACCATACAACAAAGGCACACACCTAAAAAAATTTTTTTCCATAGGAATCATTACTAACTGTGATTAATCCTGACCAATCTCAGAAAATGCCTGACATCATTTTTAAGAAACAATATAAAAAATTGCCAGTGATATCCATTTTTAAATTCTCCAAATTGATGTCCAAATTTCTTAAGGATAATATTTTGGTGCAGTATTCCTTCCTGTGGCATTCACCTTTAAAAAAGAATAATATTTAAGATTTTGATTTGGCCATTTGTGAGAAAATGATTTGAAAGATTTTAAATTAATTGTATACACAAAAGAAGGTAACATTGGTAGGACAACATCTAGGTGTTTGCATACTTATTTCTATCATCTATCTTTCACACCCTGCTCAAATAATAATAATAATAATAATAATAATAATAATAATAATAATAATAATAATAAATAGATAAATTCCTCAACTCCAAATTCTCCTAAAGGAAAAGGAATCAGAAACAACTGGGAACAGTTAAACAAGGAAAAAAAAACACAAGTCACAAAATCTTTTGTGTTTTTATCAACAAGTCTGAGAGGCCAGTCCTCTGCTTCCCAGCAGGTACCTAAGGTTCAGCAAAAAATTTGCCTCTCTGGGTTTATGCAATATAAAAAATGGCCATCATAAGACCTGAAAATGATGAGACCAGTCCTGAAATGACTGTGTCAACACTTAGAAACTGCAGTAGAAGGCGAATAAAAATGATTCAATTTAGTGTGACAGAAGGTGCTGGCACACAGAGCCCAAGCAGCTGTTTCATGGGGAGTCATTCATCATAAGTGTGCCATCGATGGTGGCCAGAAGCAGGTGGTCAGGAGAAGGGGGCAAAGGAAGCCTGCACTGTTTAGGTGACTCCGGAAGAAAGCAAAGGTGGTTACATTCTCAGTCTGCGTCATATTGGCTTTTTCCATGAATATCAAATCTTGCTACTTCAGTTTTTCCCACAATGACCAAGCATCTTTCTTAATGCTCTGATGCTCTTTGTGGATAATAATTACTCCTGTTAGTGTGCACGCTATGGGCTACATCAAGAACCATTCTAATCAGTTGTGTGTGTGTGTGTGTGTGTGTGTGTGTGTGTGTGTGTGTTTGTGTGTGTGTGTGTGTCCCTTTATTTAACCCTCAAAATACTCCATGGAGTACGTATTATCACCAATTCTATTTTACACATCTGGAAAAGAAGTCACAGAGAGACTAATTGCCCAAGATAAAAAAGTAGAAAAAAAAGTTCAGGATTCAAAGAAAGAGAATTGGGCCCTAGTTTCACCCTTTTGGGGAGGGAGTGGGGTACCAGGAATTGAACTCAGGGGCACTTGACCACTGAACCACATCCCCAGCCCTATTTGGTTTTATTTAAAGACAGGATCTCACTGATTAGCCTAGCGCCTCCCTTTTGCTGAGCCTGGCTTTGAACTCCCCATCCTCCTGTCTCAGCCTCTCAGCTGCGAGGATTGCAGTTGCTTGCCATCCTGCGGGGCCTCTGTTCCACCCTCTTAACCTCCATGGCAGTGGTCTGCAAAAAAGCAGCCTGCTGGCCATGTCAGTCTACTGCAGGTTGTTTTAGTGGCCCATTAGCTAACAATCATTTTTAGCCTTTTCTATGAGAGAAACAAATCAAAATAAGAATTATATTTGGTAACACATAGGAATTTTATGAGATTTACATTTTATTGTTCACAAATAAAGTTTTATTGGTACACAGCCAGTCCTATTCATGTATGTGTGGTCCCTGACTGCCTGGGAACTTCAGTGGCACAGCTGAGAGTTATACCTGGTGGTATGTCCTGCATAACCATAAATATTGCCAAAAAAGTTTTTCAGTGCCTGGTTTATTAATACTGAGCAAGGAGCTGAGAAGGATACTCCATGCACATGTCGACATGTGATATGTACCCTTCCATGCTGTCCCTCAAACCTTCCATTCCACCTACCTCCATCTGCTTCTTGCTCATATCTTTGCTCTTGTGTGAGAAGGTGGCACAGCACCAAAATGTTGACCCATCACCAATAGGTGAGTTTATTTGGTCAAGAACTGTATGGAGAGAGATATGACCTGGTACACCAACAAAGATGGATGAGGACATTCATGTAAAATTGGATTAGAAACAGAGCCAAGTTTCCAAAGTATGTTCATCATAACTTAAAAATATTTGGGCAAGTGTTCAAGGACAGGAGTGGGAAATAAGCATTTGAAATGTCTTTTTAATTAGATCACTCCTTTCAAAGCAGAAGTAAAACTACAGTGTAGTACCCAGAAAAGGCAGAACTGTCAGTTGATCAGTTGGTGCCTTTGCTGTGGCTCAGCAACTCTCACCTGAGGATGAGAAAATGTGAGTGAGTTCTTGCTAAAGACACTCGTGTGCATAAAACAGCAAAGGGGAAAAGGCATGGGTAACTGGGAAAGCAGTACTTTGGCTTCTCAGATGACCAGATTTCAAATATTTTAATAAATAAATTAAAATTCACGTTTAATTTAAACATTAGTTTGATAAAAATTCACCTGAATACTTCATGCCTGGCTTTTCTCTCTCGGGAATTGCTATAGCAACAGCACAGGAACAGGATT